CAACCCCCACAGTGGCTCCGCCGTCGCCGGCTCCAGTCTAGCACGAGTGCCATCCCCAGGGGGGCTCCGCCGTCGCCGGCTCCTCTCCTGCCCTAGTCCGTCCCCCACAGAGGCTCAGCCATCGCCGGCTCCAGTCCGGCCCGCACAGTGGCTCAGCCGTCGCCGGCTCCAGTCCGGCCGGAGTCCGGCCCCCACAGTGTCCCAGCCATCGCCGGCTCCAGTCCGGCCCCCACAGTGGCTCAGACGTCGCCGTCTCCACTCCGGGCCGAGTCCGGCCCCCACAGTGGCTCAGCCATCGCCGGCTCCATTCCTGCCCGAATCCGGCCCCTACAGGGGCTCAGCCGTCGCCGGCTCTATTCCGGCCCGAGTCAAGCCCTCACAGGGGCTCCGCCGTCGCCGGCTCCAGCCCAGCCCGAGTCCGATCCCCAGGGGGGGCTCCGCCGTCGCCGTCTCCTCTCCTGCCCTAGTCCGTCCCCCACAGTGGCTCAGCCGTCGCCGGTTCCACTCCGGCCCGAGTCCGGCCTCCACAGTGCCTCAGCCGTCGACGAACCACTCCGGCCGTAGTCCGGCCCCCAAAGTGGCTCAGACGTCGCCGGCTCCAGTCCGGCCCGAGTCCGGCCCCCACAGTGGCTCAGCCATCGCCGGCTCCACTCTGGCCCGAGTCCGGCCCCCAGAGGGGCTCAGCCGTCGACGGCTCCTCTCCTGCCCTAGTCCGTCCCCCACAGAGGCTCAGCCGTCGACGGCTCCTCTCCTGCCCTAGTCCGTCCCCCACAGGGGCTCCGCCGTCGCCGGCTCCAGTCCGGCCCGAGTCCGGCTCCCACAGTGGCTCCGCCGTCGACGGCTCCACTCCGGCCCTAGTCCGGCCCCCAAAGTGGCTCAGACGTCGCCAGCTCCAGTCCGGCCCCCACAGTGGCTCAGCCTTCGCCGGCTCCACTCCGGCCCTCAGAGGGGCTCCGCCGTCGCCGGCTCCAGTCCAGCACGAGTACGATCCCCTGAGGGGCTCAGCCGTCCCCTTCTCCACTCCCGCTCCAGTCCGGCCCCCACAGTGGCTCAGACGTCGCCTGCTCCAGTCCGGCCCGAGTCCGGCTCCCACAGTGGCTCCGCCGTCGACGGCTCCACTCCGGCCCTAGTCCGGCCCCCAAAGTGGCTCAGACGGCGCCAGCTCCAGTCCGGCCCGAGTCCGACCACCACAGTGGCTCAGCCGTCGCCGGCTCCACTCCGGCACGAGTCCGGCCCCTAGAGGGGCTCAGCCGTCGCCGGCTCCAGTCCGGCCGCCACAGTGGCTCAGCCGTCGTCGGCTCCAGTCCGGCCCGAGTCCGGTTCCCACAGTGTCTCAGCCATCGCCGGCTCCTGTCCGGCCCCCACAGTGTCTCAGCCATCGCCGGCTCCAGTCCGGCACCCACAGTGGCTCAGCCGTCGCCGGCTCCAGTCCGGCCCGAGTCCGGCCCCCACAGTGGCTCAGACGTCGCCGTCTCCACTCCGGCCCGAGTCCGGCTCCCTGAGGGGCTCCGCCGTCCCCGGCTCCACTCCGGCCCGAGTCCGGCCCCCACAGTGGCTCCGCCGTCGACGATCCATTCCGGCCGTAGTCCGGCCCCCAAAGTGGCTCAGACGTCGCCGGCGCCTTTCCGGCACGAGTCCGGCCCTCACAGTGGCTCAGCCGTCGCCGGCTCCACTCCCGCTCCAGTCCGGCCCCCACAGTGGCTCAGACGTCGCCTGCTCCACTCCGGCCCGAGTCCGGCCCCCACAGTGGCTCAGCCGTCGCCGGCTTCAGTCCGGCCCGAGTCCGGCCCCCACAGTGGCTCAGCCGTCGCCGGCTTCAGTCCGGCCCGAGTCCGGCCCCCACAGTGACTCAGCCGTCGCCGGCTTCAGTCCGGCCCGAGTCCGGCCCCCACAGTGGCTCAGCCGTCGCCGGCTTCAGTCCGGCCAGAGTCCGGCCCCCACAGTGGCTCAGCCATCGCCGGCTCCAGTCCGGCCCGCACAGTGGCTCAGCCGTCGCCGGCTCCAGTCCGGCCCGAGTCCGGCCCCCACAGTGGCTCAGACGTCGCCGGCTCCAGTCCGGCCCGAGTCCGTCTCCCTGAGGGGCTCCGCCGTCCCCGGCTCCAGTCCGGCCCGAGTCCGACTCCGACAGTGGCTCCGCCGTCGACGAACCACTCCGGCCGTAGTCCGGCCCCCAAAGTGGCTCAGACGTCGCCGGCTCCATTCCTGCCCGAGTCCGGCCCCCACAGTGGCTCAGCCGTCGCCGGCTCCATTCCTGCCCGAGTCCGGCCGCCACAGTGGCTCAGCCATCGCTGGCTCCAGTCCGGCCCGAGTCCGTCCCCCACAGTGGCTCAGCCATCGCCGGCTCCAGTCCGGCCCGAGTCCGGCTCCCACAGTGGCTCCGCCGTCGACGACTCCACTCCGTCCCTGGTCCGGCCCCCAAAGTGGCTCAGACGGCGCCAGCTCCAGTCCGGCCCGAGTCCGACCACCACAGTGGCTCAGCCGTCGCCGGCTCCAGTCCGGCCCACAGAGTGTCTCCACCGTCTCCGGCTCGAGTCCGGCCCCCAGAGGGGCTCCGCCGTCGCCGTCTCCAGTCCGGCCCCGAGAGTGTCTCCGTCGTCTCCGGCTCCAGTCCGGTCTGAGTCCGGCCTGCAGAGGGGCTCAGCCGTCGCCGGCTCCAGTCCGGACCGAGTCCGGCCCCCAGAGGGGCTCCGCCGTCGCCGTCTCCAGTCCGGCCCGAGTCCGGCCCCCAGAGGTTCTCAGCCGTCTGCGGCTCCCAGAGGGATCCCGCCTCAGCCTTCGCCGGGCTCCAGTCCGGCCCGCGTCCGGCCCCCAGAGGGGCTCCGCCGTCGCCGACTCCCGGCCCCCGGCCCGGCTCCGGCCTCCAGAGGGGCTCCGCCGTCGCCGGTCCTTAGTGTACGTTTTCTTTCAAGTAATTGCAAATATCTGTGAAATAATTAGATTATTTTCTCCTTTCTTTACAGTCAAAAGTCATAAAAA